CCCTACGTCCACTCACACCCAGCTTTCTGGGACACCATTGGCTGCCAGGTGCCAGGTGTGGTATGTGGGGGGAGCAAAGGGGGACACAGCCTGCAGTAGGTGAGTGGCTCCACCATTCGGCACCAGCAGCCACATGCCAGGAGTCTGGAAGGAACAGGCAGGTAAGCTCACACCAGAGCCAGCTTGTACAGAGAGTGGGGTCAGAGAAGTGCCCAGCACCTCTGTGGGGCAGGTAGGAAGGGCAAGTAGGAGCCGTGTTCTAGCCATATTCCTGCCTCGTGCTCTTCTTTCCTCAGCTCTATCAGGGATGGAGCCCCTCTTTCCTGTAGCATCAGAGGAGCAGTCTACCATGGGCAAGGGAAGGGGCGACCCCATTGTTTGGGAGGATCAGGGTGGAAGATAATCCAAACTGTGAGTCTCAGACTTGGGAATTACATCTGCCAGAAAGCCAGTCAGGGCTCAGGGGCTGGGCAAGGGGGGAAGGGGAGAGAAGAAGGCAGCCTCTCATAGCTGTGTCCATGTCCTGGTCTGTCAGGAACGCCAGGTGTCCTCACTGAGGAGATGAGAGGAGCCATGCTATTTCATGCCTGTATGTGGTGACCTTTCTGCCCCTTCTTATCATTGTGGTTTTACCTACATATCACTGTGAGCTGGCACAGATAATTTGGGGACAAATAGAGTTAGGACCCCAAGATCTGGGTGCCAGCTCCATCATGCCCTAGGCTTTTCCCATGTTAGGGGGTGAAAAGCGCATTTAGTTCAGGCTGTTTCTATGACGACCTCAGCTTGTAAGAGCCCCCAAGATCTCCACTGCCCTGGGATTAAGTGTTTAGTTTTTGTCTGAGTTCTGGCATAAGATAATGGCCAGAGTTATGCAGCCCCCCCCCAAAAAAAAACCACCAATAAAGAGGGGGTTGTTTAAGACCCAGACACCTGCACATGCAAATCCTATTTGCATGCCTTCCCTCTTGGTGGCCACATTTGCCTGGTACTTGGCACCTGCCCAAATGCTTGGTGGGGAGAGCAAGGCCTGGCAGTTCTTGAGTGTTGTGTCTGCCTCCCACGGCATCCAGGGGCCCAGACCACTCATCCAGTCTATCCTGAAGCAAGGCAAGGTGACCTGGTTGGCAGGTCCAATACACTGCCCATGGGTGGGGGTGCCTTGTTGAGCCCCATATTGGAAGACTCTATCTAGGGCCTAGTCCTTGGGAAAGAAACACCCAGGGACTCACAGAGCCCCAGAGAACTCCTCTCCTGGGCCAAAAGAGGCTGTCCATGACCTTCCCACCACAGACTAAGTGAGGAGAAGAGTGGGAGGTCCCATCCTCAGCCCAAAGACCAGGAACAAACATGGCTCCCAAAGCCAGGGTACACATACAGCTTGGGTCACCTCTCTTACTGCATAGTGCATGTCCAGATATGGCTGAGGAAACTCTGTTTCCAATAGTGGAGCTTACTGTGGTGGCATGGTACCCGCATGGACCCTAAGACAGTAACTTTGTCTGGAAACAGTCTTTGCAGATGGGATAGAGGGAAGGTAGGAACCCTGGCCCAGTGATGGGGTCCTTACAGGAAGAGGAGACAACAGACATGCACAGGCACAATTCTGTGACCACAGAGGCAGGGATTGCAGTCCTGTGGCCACAAACCAAGAGATGCCTGGAACCTCCAGGAACTGAAAGACCAGAGAAGATGTCCTCAGAGTTCTGGGGAAGGCCACAGCCTGTCCATGCCTGGATTTGGGGTTTCTGTCCCTAACACTTCAGGAGTGTGCCTCAGTTAGGTCAGGTCTCCCAGCTTATGGTCCTTGTTCCAGCATACAGGGGCATGCATGCCTGTGACCCCAGCCAGATCCTCACAGGAAAATTATAGGGTGTTTGTTCTGTGGCTGGAAGGGCTTATTCAAATCCTGCCCTCCACAGGCTCTGGGTGTGAGCTCCTGCTGTGGGTGGGGAGTATTTACATTTCCCATAACTGGGGCAGGATGGGCTGCAGGGGACCCAAGGAACCAAGGAGCTGTGCCTGGCTACATGAACCAGGTACAAGGGAGGGAACTTTTTCTATGGCTATACATTGACCCAAGGAGGCTGCCTTCCTACAGGGCCATACACTGGAAAGCCAGGATGACAAGCCACTCTTGGTCTGGAGGCCCAAAGTGAAGCCCAGGTATCCTAGTCTGCTTTCTGATGCTGTGATAAACACATGTCCAAAAGCAACTTGGAGAAGAAAGGGTTTATTTCAGTTTGCCGTTTGCAGTCCATCATGAAGGGAAGTCAGGGCAGGAACTCAAGGCAGGAACGCAGAGGCAGGAACTGAAGCAAAGTCCATAGAGGAATACTGCTTACTGGCTTGCTCCTCATGGCTTACTCAGCTGATTTTCTTATAGAACTCAGGACCCCTTGCCCAGGGGTGCTACTGCCTGCGGTGAGCTAGACCCTCCCATATTCATCGTTAATTAAAAAAATGTCCCACAGACTCGCCTACAGGGCATCCGATGTAGACATTTTCTCAGTTAAGGTTCTCTCCTCCCAGATAACTTTAGCTTATGTCAAGTTGACAGAAAAAAATTAACCAGCACACCAGGTGAGGGAGGCTACAAAAACCCCTGCCACACCTGGGCAGGCGTCTCTATGACGGGTAAGGTGACCTGCTGACGTCCCACGCAACCCGAGTCAGAAGCTCATTTTTTAATAAAAGGGAGACCTGCAGGGCCCTGGCCCCCATTTTGAGTAACTGTTGCCTTGCTTGCGGACCTTGACCTTGATATCGTCCCAATGCTAATTCCCTGCCAGATTCCACCTTCCTGAATGCTTAAGGGAAGTTCCTTGTCTGTGTATCCTGAATAATGGGCGTTAACAGCTTAGATGCAAGATTGTAAAACATCAGTAGCGAACTTCTGCCCTCCGGGGTCCTCCCATTGTGCTGTAAGCCTGTAATTAAGACCTCCCACCCCCTTCAATAAATGACATTCGACATTTAAAATTATATATATGTCCTCAGAGTTCTGGGGAAGGCCACAGCCTGTCCATGCCTGGATTTGGGGTTTCTGTCCCTAACACTTCAGGAGTGTGCCTCAGTTAGGTTATATATATAGTTATATATAATTGAATGAATACTGCAAATGTAATCTATGAATACCACAAATGTGATTAATATCATGAGTGTAAGTAATGAATATCATGAGTGATAAGTGTAATTTAAAAAAAAAAAAAAAAGCAACCCTGCCACAGCATTTAGAGCAGATCCAAGAAGTTCCTGTCTGCCCAAGCCAGACAGGTTACAGGAGGAGCCTTCCCACCTCTGCCACCTCTGAGGGTCCAACCTCCAAATCTTCCCCACACCCACCTTGGGTGAAGAGTCCATCTTAGTCCATGCAACAGCTTAGGATATCCCAATTACACCTACAGCAACATGAAACAGTGCTCCTGCACCGGAAGCAGTAAGAGTTAGTTTAGTTTATACTGAGCAGATATGAGTGGCTATAGCCAATGAGGCTCCAAAGGACATGTTCCACTCTGGCCATAGTTACAATAACCTTTGTAGTCACAGGACAAATGACAATAGTAAGCCGAGACATTTATCAAATGCATTGGTGGGAAGACCAGGTAGGTAGGTTACAGCAGCCACGTGGGGGATCTCTGCTGTAGGCCTCAGATGCTCTCTGATGACGTTTGGCTTTCCGGTAGGTGGAAGTTTAGGGTCTGCTGAGAAGACAGTCTAAAGGTTTTGCCTGGTAGATGGATGTTAGGTCAGACAATAAATGTGGACAATAAATGGCTAAAGATAGACCGAGATCATTTGGCCCCTGGCTCCCTAGCATTTCAGCTTCCACAACCAGGACATTCTAATGAGTCAGTCATCTACAGCATCTTCACCACAGGTAAACTTTAGTTCACATCTGCAAAGATCAAATTTCTATAGCAGGTCATGTGCACAGTACCAGGGGTTAGGGGTCAGATGTATCTCTTGAGGGACATTTTCTTTGGGGGAAGCACCATAACCATGCTGGCCCCAGAGGCATGTGCGAAGGACCTTGGCCTCAGCCCCTGTCCAGGTTTTCCACAGGAGGCCGGGAATAAACCCTCCTTATATCTTATACCACCCTGCCTCCTTCTTTTCAGCCCCCAATATATACAGGCATCTTCCTCCAAAATGTGCAGGATCTGAATGAAGTGCTATCATGCAGGCACCCCAAAGCTGGGCACATGGGACAACCATGCAGGCCTGGGAATCATGGTCTACACACATGGGTGTGTAGAGAGCTGTGCCAAGTCAGACAGGCTGTGTTCTTCCTCCCTGGCTGGACACCTGCTTTCAGGAGGGCAGACGTAGGAGCCAAGGCATGATGAGGGCAGGGCCATGCTGTGCCCTAGAGATTTTGGGAAATCACCAGAGAAACACAGGAGACCTATAGGAGACAGATGAATATCGCACAGGCCACTCCACTCAAGTCACTGCAGTGAAGGGTGGAGCTAAGGAGCTTGGTCTGGCCAGGTAGGTGGGTGGGTGGGAGGAGACCTGATCCCCGCCAGGGTGAGAGATGCTGTAGGCAGCCTCTTCATCCTCTGTTTGCCAAGGTGGGAACTTGAAGGGGAAGAGCCTGGTGGGGTCCTGGCTCTGCCTCTGAGGCCAGGGGAGCCAGGACAAGGCTCCCCTCCCTGCCCCCCATGTTCTTCCCATTGCCCTCTTCACCTGCTACCCTGCACAGACTTCCCTTCCTGACTTCCCTTTCTGCCTTCTGTCCCCACCTCCCATTCTAGCCTTCATCTCTGCCTTCCTTCCCTGGCCTCCCCTCCCTGAACTTCCCGGTCCACAAAGGTCCCTCCTTTTCTCTGCTTTGTCCTCCCAACCCCTTTGCATCTGAACTAGGTCACCTGCCTTCTTACCTACCTACTCAGGTGCAAACCAGGATGTCCTCAAACCTTGTCTGGGGCAGTCTAGGCTGTGGCTCCCTTGGGTTGGAAAACTGAATTCCTTACCTAGTGTTTGGGGCTTTCTAGGACATTCCCTGCAAAAACCTCTGGAGAACTGTGACAGGCATATTGGAGTCCAGACACCCAGAGTTCGGTAAGTGTGGGGAACAGAGGTAGGCAGGTGGGTTTGCCATGCCCCTGTCCCCAGTGGGGAATGAGCCCGATTCTAATCACAGCTACTGTGAGGAAGGTGGTAGAGCCACGACAGGTGGGGTCAGCTGGTGGAAAGCCACCTCATGTCAGCTGGGATAAGTCTTCCTTGTCAAGTGGGGAAGAGGGTGGCTACCCCACTTTCTGGGTTCCATCATCTGTCTCATAGAGAAGCCACCATGCAAACTGCCCAGAGCTCCTGCCCTGGAAGCCCCCCAGATACTGATGATGGGTGGGAGCCAGTCCTATGCCGGGGAGAGATTGACTTCGGAGGGTCCAGGAAGAAGCGAGGCAAGGTAGGGGCAGCATGCACCTGGGTGACATCCACCATGCCTGGAATCCCCAAGTCTTACTTCCTCCTCAAAGTCCCTCACCCTGGGGCCATTCCTTATGATCTGAGTGCAGAGACCCCGGCTCACGAAGGGAAGATACACTGCAATGGCAATACCACACAGAGGCCTTACCTCAAGAGGGGTCTAAGGCCTGCCCTCCTATGGCCTGCCCTGTCCCATGCCCAGAATCCTTCAAGAACTCCCTCCAATCTAACATTACCATAGGCCCGGAAGCCCCCACCCCAGTGCTGCCTACCTGTCCCTTGACCCTGAATCCACCTGCCCCCATCCTGCAGTTTGTGAAGGTGCCCAGCAGCGTGGCCCCCTCTATGCTTTTTGAACTCCTGCTCACCGAGTGGCACCTGCCAGCCCCCAACCTGGTGGTGTCCCTGGTGGGTGAGGAGCGGCCTTTTGCTATGAAGTCTTGGCTTCGGGACGTCCTGCGCAAGGGGCTGGTAAAAGCAGCTCAGAGCACAGGTAAGGCTCGCCCTGGGCTGGGCCTGTCTGGCCTGCTGCCCTGCTTGCCGCTGGTGGGGGCGGGGAGGCATTCCTTGGTGACATTTCTCTTCCTCAGCCCCCTTCGGTGGTGCCTAGGGAGGCCATGGGGGCAGGCCACGGGGATGTGGTGCAGGTGAACTTAAAGGCGGTCGCAAGCTGCTCCGTGGTGTGCAGAAGCTGGTCCTCCCTGAGAGCTATCCACTCCACTCAGGCCATGGCCTCCCACTGGCATCAGTTCACCAAGGAGCACCTGGGGTGTGTCCCCACACACCACCCTTGGGGAGCACCTGGCGACTGGTAGATGTCAGAATCAAATCCCTGGGGCTTTATTTTGAAAACATACGGGTTCAGGGAATGCTCTACTTTCATTTCTGCTGCAATAAATACCCTGACCACAAGCAACTCCCGGAAGAAAAGGGTTCATTTGCCTTACAATTCCGTGTCACAGCTCATCATGTCAGAGACACGAAGGCAGAGAGTCGAGGCAGATAGTCACATCCCATCCACAGCCAAGAGCAGTGAGAATAAACACATCTTTACTTGTTCTCATCAAGCTTTCTCCTTTTATGCAATTCAGCACCTAGGGGATGGTGCCGCCCTCAGTGTGTGGGGTCTTCCTACATGACTTAACAACCAAGACAACCCACCACAGACACACCCACCACAGACATACCCACTGGCCAAGCTGATCTAGATTAAGATTCTCTTCCCAGGTGACTCTGGGTTGTGTCAAGTTGATGGTTAGCACCTGATCAGCACAGGGGTCAGAGAGATGCTCAGCAGTTGAGAGCATGTACTGCTCTTCCAGGAGACTGGAGCTCTGTTCCCAGCACCCAGGTCAGGCAACTTGAAACTGCACATAATTCTAGCTCCAGGGAGATTCAGCACCTTTTCTCAGGCAACTTCACTCTTACGCACATACTGAATACACTTACACCATTTTTTTAAAAGATATATTTATTCTTGTATTTTATGTATACACCAGAAGAAGGAATCTGATCCTATTACAGATGGTTGTGAGCCACCATGTGGTTGCTGGGAGTTGAACTCAGGACCTCTGGAAGGGCAGTCAAGTGCTCTTAACCACTGAGCCATCTCTCCAGCCCCACTTACATCACTTAAAAAATAAATTAAAACTAACCAGCACAGGCCGGTGTCTCAGTAAAGAGCTGAGATTAGTCTCCAGCACCCATACAGAAAGTTGGGCATGGAGGCGTGTACTTGAAATCCTAATGCAAAGGGAAATAGACAAGAAAATCCCTTGCTTGCTGGCAGGCCAGACTTGCCAAATCAGCGAGTTCCAGGATGGTCGGAGACGATCTTACACAGACAAGATGACTGGTACCTCTGGCCAGCACATGCGCCCGTCCCCACACAGGTGTTCTGCACACACAAACATACATCCGTCAAGAGGGTTGGAGGTTCTGAGCCTCTCACTGCAGAAGTGATAATAATAAAGGAACAATTTGCAGTCAGATGCAAGTGGCAACTTCGTCATGGAATCCTTTCCCAGAACAGGGTACAGAGCAGCATCTATGACAAATCTTGGGAAAGGTCACTATCTACCCCATGCACATCCTCCCGGAGCCTTAGTCTCCCCATCAGCTTCAAAGTGGTCCCTGTAGCTGGGCATGGTGGTGCATACTGTACTCCTAGTACATGAAACACTGAGGCAGGGAAGGGAATTACTTCAAGTTACAGGCTAGACAAAATTAAAAAGACCCTGTCTGGGGGAAGGGGCAAAAAAGCATTTCCCATTACCTGAGTCCTGGGTCTCTGACTGTAGATATGACTAGGGGATGGAGTTGGGCCAGCCAGCTGTTAGGACTCCAGGACCTTTCTCTCCCAACTCCCATAGGTGCCTGGATCCTGACGAGCGCCCTCCGTGTAGGCCTGGCCCGCCACGTTGGGCAGGCTGTACGTGATCACTCTCTGGCTAGCACATCCACCAAGGTCCGTGTAGTGGCCATTGGAATGACCTCTCTGGACCGTATCCTTCACCGTCAGCTTCTAGATGGTGTCCAGGTGAGTGACAGGTTCATGGATCCATGGCTGCTAGGGCTCAGTAAGCTTGGGTAGGTAGAGGAAGCTATGGACAGGCTGAAGGACTATGTTACCTGCATAGGCTCTGAAAGCATTGAGAGGTGGGGGACAAGGATAGGCTTCAGTGGGAAGAAAGACATTGTTTCCTCGGGCCTCAGCACTCCCCAGCAGGTGGCAGCATCACTCAGGAATAAGGGTGGCAACCTGCGGCATCCCTCTAGGGAGCTAGACTGATAGCACTCTGGGCCCAGCCTGGCTAGACGGCTGTCCTCAAGTCCTGCGAAACCCTGTCCAGGTGGCTTCTGCTCTCTGGTATTTGTTCACATCCCCCACTCTGTGGACTGTGTAAGGCATAACCAATAAGAAGCCCAGGAGGCCCCACTGAGGTGAAGTCTGGACCCCAGCCCAGAAGAGTCTAGAAGGTGGAGCTTGCACAGCCCTGGCCCCAGCTGTTTCCATGGTTCACTCATTCCAGGGAGGCCCCCCGGCCCAGCAGTCCAGCCTCCCTCTGCCTAAGGGGTGGGGACTCTGAGGCCTTGCTGAAGCCTTGCCCAGGGCTCCAGCATGGCGTGCACAGCCTAGCAAGGCCCAGCCAAAGCTGCTCCTGAGGTCTCCACCTCCCCATGTCTTCCCAAATACTTGGCACAGGAGGATACCCCCATCCACTACCCTGCAGATGAGGGCAGCATCCAGGGACCACTCTGCCCGCTGGACAGCAATCTCTCCCACTTCATCCTGGTGGAGCCGAGCACCCACGGGAGTGGGGACGGACTGGCGGAGCTACGGCTGAGCCTGGAGAAGCACATCTCTCAGCAGAGGACAGGCTATGGGGGTAAGGCTCTCTCCAGCTGCACAGAGCAGCATCTTGGGGACGTGGACATGGTGATATGATTCACACCAGCAAGAACTTCATGGAGAGTGGGAAAGGGCCCTCCAGGAAGCACCCCCTCCCCCTGCCGCATGCCTGAGCATACAAAGCCTGGGAAGAAGAGCTGTTGGGGTGGGATGGGAGAGTGGCACAGCTGGGCAGTACGGCCCTGGCTAGGCAGCCACCTCCTGGCCAGATAGCAAGGCAGCTGCCACTGTTTTAATTGGCATTGTTCTAGCTGCAGACTCTGCTAGCCAATAAGCCTTCCAAGAGGCACAGTCCCCTCCACTGCCACCAGGGAGCAGAAATGCCTGAAGCAATGGGTACAACTGTGACTAGTGAAGGACGTATAAGAGAGATGGACTGGGAAAATATTAACGGACAAACAATATTTATAAACTACTATATCATTGCTTAGAACGTGTGTGAATAATATATTAACAAAGAACCATGCAATTCTTCGGTGAAGCCAGTCCACGTTAACAGTGGAAACAGACCTGTGTCTGACACCACAAAGGTATCACATAGGACCCCGGCAGCATGGGGCTGCTCCCACCAGCTACTATCCCTTTGTTGGCCCAGTGTGTCTCTTGTGATGCAGATCGACTCTGTCCTATGCTGGTAGAGTAGCTATCTAGCCATAGCATGGCTGCCCTTGGGATGTGGTGGGTGCCACAAGGCTTCATTTCTCTCAAGTTCCTTTGTACTTACTTGTCGCATGCCAGCCCTGGACAGTACAGACATACAGTTAAAGTGTTGAGCCTCAGGGATTTGGTACAATGCCTTGGTTCACCCTTGGTTTGAAAGAGAGAGGGGAAAAAGCCACCATGGGCTGGGGATGTAGCTTAGTTAGTAAGTGCTTGGCTGTTGCACACAAAGCTCTGGGTTCAATCTGCAGCATGGAATAAACCAGGTACTCTGGCACATGCCTATAATCCCAGCACTCTGGAGATGAAAGCAGAGGGACCATCCTAAACTACATTCAAAACCAAGTCCAGACTGGGCTTCGTCAGACCCTGTTGTTTTGTTTTGTTTTGTTTAAAAAAAAAAAGGAAGGAAGAGCCAGGTGGTGATAGTACATGCCTTTAATCCCAGCACTTGGAAAGCAGAGGCAGGCAAATCTCTGTGAGTTCAAGGCCAGCCTGGTCTACAAGGCGAGTTCCAGAACAGCCAGGATTGTTACACAGAGAAACCCTGTCTCAAAAAAACAAAACAAAACAAAAAACAAGAAAAAAAAAAGGGAAGGAAGCTTTTTGGCAGGGTGTGTCAGAAACATGGTAGCTGGGGTGGGGGGGGGGAAGGGGTCCGAAGTTGGGGGTGGTTGCCCATCTAATGAGGAGGACCTGAGTTTCTGACTTTCTGAGCATCAAGTGGCATCATGGCTGCTATGCCCATAGGCACCAGCAACATCCAGATACCTGTCCTTTGCCTGCTGGTCAACGGTGACCCCAGAACCCTGGAGGTAAGGGCAGGGGGGAGGAAGGCCTGACTGGAGCCAGGGAGGATGTGGTGGTTTCCCAGGGTGATGTGGAGGACTGAGGCACTTCTTAAACATGCATCTGAATGTCACTCTGCCTCCCCAGAGGATCTCCAGGGCAGTGGAGCAGGCTGCCCCGTGGCTGATCCTGGCAGGTTCTGGGGGCATCGCTGATGTGCTTGCTGCCCTGGTGAGCCAGCCTCATCTCCTGGTGCCCCAGGTGGCTGAGAAGCAGTTCAGAGAGAAATTCCCCGGCGAGTGTTTCTCTTGGGAAGCCATTGTGCACTGGACGGAGCTGGTGGGTGCTGCTGGGGGCTGCGATGGCCATTTGCTGCCTCTGTCCTCCTAGCAACCCCCTTGGTGGGGATGTTCTTGAAAGCCCTGCCTATGCCTTCTCTTCCCATCCCATCTTGGAATTATCTGGGTCCTTGTGCCACAGTGAGACCAGGCAGCCAGCCAGCCCGTCAGGCTGTGGGTGAGCTAGGCTTGTAGGTCAGTGGGGACAGGGTGGCTCATCTGAGGACCTTTCCAGGCTCCATTCAGACCTCAAGGCTTCTTCCTGGTCTTAGCTACAGAACATTGCTGCACATCCCCACCTACTCACTGTGTACAACTTCGAGCAGGAGGGTTCCGAGGACCTGGACACTGTCATCCTCAAGGCACTTGTGAAAGGTGAGCCAAGTAGACCTGCCCTCAGAGGCAGCAGGATTCAGCGGTGTTCACAGTGGATGCCTGTCAGCCCTTCCCAGGTAGGAAAGATGACTCACAAATTCTCGAGGCCTTTCTATCAGAGGCTTAGAATCTAGCCTCAGGGCATTGTAACCAGCACTCATTCTGGAATGTTTCTATTACTCCCTCCCAAAAAGCCTTAGCAACTTCACCTTGTCCCCAGGTCCTGGTCCTCTACCTGCTTTTTGTCTATGGATGTGAGCTTTGGGGCCACTGTATATGAACGGAATTACAACATATATTGTTTGTACCCAGTTTTCCTCATGAAGCGCAATGTCCCACAGACCCATCCCCATGGCAGCCAGAGCCAGGAAGTCCTGACTTTCCAAGGCTGAGTTCTAACATTTACTGTGCAGATATACTGTGGGTCTGTCCACTTGGACACTGATGGAGATGTTGGATTTCAACCCAGGCTTGTTGGGGCAGTGGGGCTGGCCTAGAACACAGGCTGGAAGCTGGGAGAGGCAGTGTTGGGGAAAGGGTGGGGCATACCTGAGTAAGGGGCCACTCCAAGAGGACCTGGGGCACCTGGGGGTGAGGATGTGGCTCAATTGGTACAATGTTTGAGCAGGGTGATGATAGCTCATGCCTTTAATCCCAGCACTTGGGAAGCAGAGGCAGGCAGATCTCTGTGAGTCCCAGGCCAGGCTGGTCTACAGAGTGAGGTCCAGGACAGCAAGGGATACACAGTGAAACCCTGTCTCAAAAAGAAAAAAAGTTTGCCTAGCATATACAAGGCCCTAGGTTCAATTTCAGTACCACATGAATCAGATGTGGTAGCTTACACTTGGTAGGCAGGAGGATCAGCAGTTCAAGGTCATCTTTGGCTATATAGCAAGTTCGAGGTCAGTCCGGTCTACAAAAGGGCAGCTCTGGATTTAGCCATTCCCCTTCACAAGACAGTGAGGCCCAGGGAGCCATATACAGGACCACATGTAGCTTTCAGTGAGTCACAGTCTCATGGAGGCAAAAGCCTGGTGCTCTTAATTCTGGGGTTTAGGGGTAACTGTGACCTCCAGTGAAAGTGTGCAGCCATCCCCAGGGAAGAAACGTGCCTGCATGGGAATGTACCACCCTGCCCTGCTCCTGGGCAAGGAAATGTTGGCCAAGGTGCTACACTCCTGAAAACATGCTTCTGCCTCATGAGATCTATCTAGGGGGTTCTGGGCTGTCGTCACTGAGTGTTAAGTCCTGTGCCTCTTGCTGCTGTTCAGAAGCAGCTGCCAATCCCCGTCAAGTCCTTACAGAGTTCCAATCCCTCCCCTCCGTCTCTGTGGGACTCACTCCCACCCACAGCCTGCAAGAGCCACAGCCAAGAGGCCCAAGACTACCTAGACGAGCTCAAGCTGGCTGTGGCCTGGGACCGTGTGGACATTGCCAAGAGCGAGATCTTCAGTGGAGACGTGGAATGGAAGGTGCCCCCCCCACACCCAGAACTGATTTGGGAACACCAGGCAGGGAATGCACTAAGGCCCGAGGACGTGGGGTCTCAGGGGTGTCATCTGGGCCCACTCTGCCCCAGCTGTTGCCCTGGGGAGATCAAAATGATGCTAGGGAACCCCCAAAGTCCAGGCTGGGGTGTGGGAGTCCTGACACTCTTACTGTCAACTCATCAGACCTTTCCTATCCCCAGCTCCTGAGGCCAGCATACTCTGCTGACCCATGGCTGCCCCAGCTTTAGGGCACAGGTTGGGGTGCCCAGGGGAGGATGTCCAGTTCCTCTTCCTCCCTCTTACTGTGCTGATTTCCTCCCCTACCGGGTGAATCTAGTCCTGCGATCTGGAAGAGGTGATGACTGATGCCCTAGTGAGCAACAAGCCTGACTTCGTGCGCCTCTTTGTGGACAGCGGTGCTGACATGGCCGAGTTCTTGACCTATGGTCGGCTGCAGCAGCTTTACCACTCTGTGTCCCCCAAGAGCCTCCTCTTTGAACTGCTACAGCGTAAGCATGAGGAGGGCCGGCTGACACTGGCTGGCTTGGGTGCCCAGCAGGCCCGGGAGCTGCCTGTTGGACTGCCCGCTTTCTCACTCCATGAGGTCTCCCGTGTACTCAAGGATTTCCTGCATGATGCCTGCCGTGGCTTCTACCAGGATGGGCGCAGGTTGGAGGTGAGTAGAGCTAAGTTGGGCCGGGGTGTGCTGGGAAGGCTGAATGTTGATGCCCTGTTCTGCAGGAGAGGCGGCCCACAGGCCAGAAGTGGCTACCAGACCTCAATCGGAAGAGTGAGGACCCTTGGAGGGACCTATTCCTCTGGGCTGTGCTGCAGAACCGTTATGAGATGGCCACATACTTCTGGGCCATGGTGAGTAGCCACCTCAGTCCACAGCTCCTAAGAAGCAGATTGGGAAATATTGGGACAGTTGGGCCACCTTCTAAGACCCTGTCTCTCCATCTTCCAGGGCCAGGAGGGTGTGGCTGCTGCTCTGGCTGCTTGCAAGATCATAAAGGAAATGTCTCACCTGGAGAAAGAAGCAGAGGTGGCCCGGACCATGCGTGAGGCCAAGTATGAACAGCTGGCCCTGGGTGAGTCGAAGGTTGAAGGTCTCTCCTTCTGCTCCCCTGTAGACAAGGGATTGGCTGTCTTCAGCAAGTGGCTCAGGGTGACCCCCATGGCCTCCAGTGTAGAGCAGAACTCAGGGCAGTTCCTCCTGGGGGTGGAGGTTAGTCAAAAAGTCCTAACAGGGAGGTGGAGATGTTACAGTACATGATAGTCATGTACTGGTCCCTACCACAGAGTGGAAGTCCTTTGTGTCAATTGAGGCCTTCACAGTACTAAGAGGGAAAGGAAGGGCCCTGGGGCCAGGCAGGAACTCTCAGGGGCCCTGTAGCATGGAAGGCCTGGCTGGACCCTAGAAAGCAGATGCAGGATGTATGCTGAAGAGGACGGGGACCCAGGAACCAGGCTTCAGCACCCCATCCTAGCAGCTGGCTTCGTGCACAGATCTTTTCTCTGAGTGCTACAGCAACAGTGAGGACCGTGCCTTTGCCCTGCTGGTGCGCAGGAACCACAGCTGGAGCAGGACCACTTGCTTGCACCTGGCCACTGAAGCTGATGCCAAGGCCTTCTTTGCCCATGATGGTGTGCAAGTGAGTGGCTGATCAGCCTAAGGATGGCTTGAGGATAAGAAGGGTTGGCAGGGCCCAGGTTACCCACCCAGGACACTGAGGTATCTTAGCTAATAATGTCCCAGTCTACAGCTTCCAGCCCATGCCCAAGCTACATAGGGGAGGGACCAGGAAGAGTGGCTGGGTTCCAGCTTACTTCATGCTTTTCTAGCTTGGTTCTTAGACCCAGCAACACCTGTTCTCAGTTTGGTTGTCCTTAACCCCAACCCATAATTCTGTTCTTGAAAGGTTACAACAGGCCTGGGGATGTGGCTTATTTAATAGAGTGTACAGCATGCATGAAGCCCTGGGTTCAATCCCCAGAACTGAATAAATCAGCTGTAGTGGTCTGTGACGGCAATCTCATCACTAGGGAGGTGGAAACAGGAGGATCAGGAGTTCAAGGCCGTCTTCAGCTATGCAGTTCATAGTTATCTTGAGTTAAATGAGATTGCCCTAAAGAAGGGCAAAAAAGGAGGGAAGGAAGGCGGGCTGCAAGCAGTCGAACACATGCTCCTGGAGAGTCTGACCTCCTGCCAGAGCGGATGCTCCAGGAGGAGGCTTGAGAGGGGTCTGGGAAGAGCATCTCAGGCACACGGCCCTGTGTGAGTGAAAGTGTGGTGATAGGCATCCAGAACATGTGACTTTATTCTAGGCATTCCTGACCAAGATCTGGTGGGGAGACATGGCCACAGGCACACCCATCCTACGGCTGCTGGGTGCCTTCACCTGCCCAGCGCTCATCTATACCAACCTCATCACCTTCAGGTCGGTTTATGCAGGTGCCAGAGTCTCTCACTGTTCCCACTTCTCATAGCCCAATGTCCAGTTGACTATGTGAGTCCTCCTTCTTCTCGGTGGGCCTAGTACTTCCTTCTCTGTGTGCTTCGGATATCCTTCCCTGTGTTGCAGTGAGGATGTCCCGCAGAGGATGGACCTGGAAGATCTGCAGGAGCTGGACAGCTTGGATGTGGAAAAGAGCTTTCTGTGCAACCAGGGCGGCCAGTAAGGGGTGGCAGGGTGATGAAATGGATAGAGGGGGCCAGGAAGGATGGAGTGAGGAAAGATAGGAGGAGCAAGGAAAGTGGGGAAGACAGAATGGGCCCAGAAAGACAGAGGGTAGGAAAAACGGAGGGGACTATAGAAGGGACAGAGTGAGGCCCAGAATGATAGAGGCTGGGGAGCATGAAGTTTAAAAAGAATGGAGGAGGCTGGGAAGGATGGAGAGAGTAAGGACTATCACTCAGCAGTGGCCAGTGGCTAGACACAGGTAGACAGAGGCATGCTCCCTTGCGGGTACCGTGGTTAGGTGCCTCTTCACCATGGTGACCTCCTCCATACCCACACAGATTGGAGAAGCTGACAGAGACACCAAGGGCTCCAGGCGATCTAGGCCCACAGGCCGCCTTCCTGCTCACACGGTGGAGGAAGTTCTGGGGAGCTCCTGTGACTGTGTTCCTGGGGAATGTGGTCATGTACTTTGCATTCCTCTTCCTGTTCACCTATGTCCTTCTGGTAGACTTCAAGCCACCTCCCCAGGGGCCATCTGGGTCTGAGGTTACCCTCTATTTCTGGGTGTTCACACTGGTCCTGGAGGAAATCCGACAGGTCAGTGGACAGCATGGCCTACTCCTGGGCTCTGCAACTCAGGCTATGTTAGATGTAGCTCCAGGTGGGGCCTGCTCTGGGAGGGGGGGACGGCTAAAACTTTTCTTCTATAGAACAAGACCACTGTGTGGCCTTCTTGTCAACCCAGTCTACTGCATCATGGTCCTGGTCACAGACTGAGCCCCAATCCCAGCTCCAGACCAAGCCCTTATCTTGATCAAGGGTCATCACAGAGTCTTGATGTTGGTCACAGTCAGAGCCCTGATCACGATCACAAACAGAGCTGATTTCAGCTCCATCCTGAGCTTCGGTCCCTGTTCCAGCTTGGTCATGAACATGATTCCCTAGTCAGAGTCTGAACCCTGACCTGAGTCACTGGCTAAGTCCAGACATGCAATGTAAATTGACCCTGAGTTTTAGTCACAGACAGTCCTGACTCCAGATTCAGCTTGACCTCACTTTTTGTCCCAGACTTAGTCCTGAAATCTCTTCAACTGATACTCCCAGTCCTAGCCATACACTGGGTCCTAGTCACCAATTAGTTCTGATCAGCTTGACAAACTGAGCCCTGACACATGCAGATTCTACCCTGGTCTCAGCAAGGTGGACCTGGCTGCCATAACCAGACTTCCTCCCTCTGTCAGGGCTTCTTTACAGATGAGGACACACACTTGGTGAAGAAGTTCACTCTGTATGTAGAGGACAACTGGAACAAGTGTGACATGGTGGCCATCTTCCTGTTCATTGTTGGTGTCACCTGTAGGTCTGTAGCCTCAGATGGGCTGGTGGGCAGGCCCTAGGGGACCCACTCAGCTCTCTGAAATCCTAGCATGGTCCTGGAACCTGCCTTTTGGCCATTTAGCTAGCATATTGTGTCTTGGGGAAAGCCTCTGGCCCTCTGTGGGTACCAACAGCCCTACCTAGCCTTTGTCTCTCTCCAGGATGCTGCCCTCGGTGTTTGAGGCTGGACGCACTGTTCTGGCCATTGATTTCATGGTGTTCACACTTCGGCTCATCCACATCTTTGCCATTCACAAGCAGCTGGGTCCTAAGATCATCATTGTAGAGCGGATGGTGGGTCTGTGGGACCCTGACCCTTGAGGGGGGTGAGGCACTGGGCCCCCAGCCTTGGATAGATGGGGCATTTTGACCCAGTGGATGGTGAGTCCTCGGGACCCTAAACCTATTGAGGGTGAGTCCCCTGGGACCCCAGTTCTGGATAGCTGAGGAGCCCAAAAGAACACTGACTCGAATGGTAAGGGCCCTGGACTTTAACTCTGGATGAGAGTGAGCTACCACTGTGTCCAACTAAAGGGGTGACCCCTATACCTCCAGGTTTGGGTAGATAGGACCCTAGCCCTGGGTGGAGGTGAGCCCCCGGAACCCTAACTTATGTTAGGGGTGAGCCCCCTTGGACCTTGACCTTGAGTGGTGATGAGCCCTGTGATATCCCAATCCTGGTAGTGGTGAGAATCCTGGGACCTCCAACCCTGGATGGGGGTAAGTACTGAAACCCCAACCAAGGTGGTGGTGAGAACCCTGACACCCTATTCCTTGGCTGAGGTGAGAACCCAGGAACTCCAGCCCTAGGTGAGGGTAAGCTCTCTGGACTCCCATATGGAGGAAAATGAGTCCCTCTGACTCCTTGAGGTGAGTTCCCATCCAGTCCATCCGTGACTGTGACCCTCATCCCCCTGCAGATGAAGGATGTCTTCTTCTTCCTCTTTTTCCTGAGCGTGTGGCTTGTGGCCTACGGTGTGACGACTCAGGCCCTGCTGCACCCCCACGACGGCCGTCTGGAGTGGATTTTCCGCCGTGTGCTCTACCGGCCTTACCTGCAGATCTTTGGGCAAATCCCTCTGGATGAGATTGATGGTTTGTGTTGAGCCAGGAAGGTGGGCTGGTGGGCTGGTGGGCTCCAGGATATGTGGTCTCATTTCTGTGTCACCAAGGCCCTGGCTGGAAATGCCTGAGACAATGACATCCTAAGTCTAGGCCACAGGCTGGGATCCAGAAGCAGGGCAAGACACAAGTGGCCATGGAGCCCCCATCTTTCCCCTGACTGGAAAGTAGGCCATAGAGATGCCAAATAGCCAGAGCTGGATTTCTGTCTGAGGGGGTCTAGGGCTGGGCTGGCCCTTGAGGGGGTCTTGTGAGGGGCAGAGGACGGGCAGACACTACGAGCACAGCATGAAGAACCCAGGCCACCCTGGCCATTGCACGTTGCTTCTTCACCTGGCTGCAGTTTCCCTGTGGTCCATCTGCTCACCATTTCCAACTGGACCTTGCTTTCATTAAGGATCCATCCAACTTGTGTGTGTTGCCTGTTGGTGTCAATGGTGTGTGGCTTGTCTGTAATCATGGGTGTCCCCTCAAGCTAGGCCCTGCACCTGTCTAGGGCTGATGGAGATCCTAGGACTGCATGACAAGTGGGTGCAGCTGGGAACTTACAGCAGGGGGCCTGTGGGTGGTGGAGGAATGAAAAACCTGGAGCCAGAATGGGGACCTGTGAAGACCTAAGATGGCTAAGATTGGGCAAACAGAGGGATCCGGCTCATCAGACAGACAAAGGGGCCTAGAGAGTCGGGGCTCAGGACAGCAGCTCCACATGGCACTATTGAGCATGCACAGGCTTAGAGATGGGGTGCAGATTGAGGCATAAGGGTCAGTGTTCATGCTAGTGTCAAGGGATTTAGGGTTATCCAACTGTGGGGCCATGCAGCTTGGATAGTCAGTAGAGACCTGACCCTAGCCATCCTGGGGGAGGCCAATAATGAGGCCAGGTCAGCAATCATGACGCTCAATGAATATTTGTCAATAGAGGACAGTAAGACTGGAGCAAGCCCAGGCCTCCAGGAACAGAAGGGCTGGAAATTAACTTCTAATTGGGGTGTTTCCAAGTCATACCCTAGGTTGTTTTTTTCTCCCCACCCCAGTGCCTTCGGTGTTTGCTCAACCTGAGACATCGCTTTTCTAGGCCATTAGCTTAAGCAGATATCGCCTGCCTCTTCCCTCCCCCCTCACCATATGGCCTCATGGCCCCAACCCCTGGGGGCAGGAAGAGGAAGTTGAATGTCTCAGCCCAGCAGCTCTGGGGTCTCAGTTCCCTAGTAGCTATAACTCTGGTCTCTCTTCCACGGGCATTGGGGAAGAGGTTCAGGCCACTGGCAGCCTAGAAGGGCAGTGGGATAGAAAGTCCTCAGTCTAGGCACGGAGGCCACTGCAGGGTCGGCAGAACCACTGGGGATGTGGCAGGCCTAGCGAGTCATGGAACAGTCTTGCCAACCCTCTCACTAGGTTCTCCAGTGCCCTTCCCCTCACACTGTGTCTACTGTGCTGAGAGCGGACTGGTATTCTCTAACATGCCTGTGTTCAGAGGGAAACTAAGGCCTGGGTAATTCTGGCCCAGTTTTTGGAGTAAAGAGACACGGAAGTCCTTCTCTTCACTTCCTTTCCCTTCCCTTCCATTCCCTCCACACCACACTTGCCCATCCTTCCACCGAGCTCTGGGCTCCAGGGCCAAATTTGCATTCAACTAGGCCGTGTGGGCCTTCTCAGACCTCAGGCAGGTGTAGATTTACGGCTTCACAAAGGAGGGCTTGGCCACCCATCTGGGGCACCAAGAGGAGGGAAGAGAGTGGGGGAACAGCATTAGGAGCAGATTCATAGGCTGGGGGCGGGCAACCTTGGACGGGACAAGATGGGATCTGGTACTCTCAGATGGCTGATGCACCCCTCCATACAATACAATACTCCATTACTCACCCATGGGTTGACCGATCAGAATAACTCACTGGGGCCAAAAGGCAGGAATTTGTCCTAGAAAGGGAGACAGGGTCAGAGAAACACAGTACACACAGGTAGACCTTGAAAGTCCCATATACCAAAAATGAACCCCCAAGCAGCCTCCCTGGAGTATCACTTGTAACACAGAGATCTGGAAGAATAGGAATAGGAAATGTACACATGCGCATATGTTCACACCTACTTACACGACAGTCGTGCCCCAGCACACAGCCTGGAGAAGACAGGGATGGCATCAGGAGTCAGGATGGCAACCTCAGCCTGTGCTGCCCGGCAGGCTTGGCCAGGCGTAGCCAGGGTGGGGACCTGCAGGGGATAAGCATAAATGAAGGAGCTGACGGCTCAAAGGGGCTAGTGTTGTGGCCCAGAGCCCTTGGGGGGATGCCCAGGGCCTTGGAAACTCCCAGAGTGGGCAGAGATGTCTAGAAGGCAGCAGCCTCACTCTCAACTGGGAGCCCTGGGTGGGAAAGGCATGGGCAGTAAGCCTTTCTGGGGTAGGTGGAGGAATTGTTCCATGCAATGGCAGACAGAAGTGGGTTCCAGGACTCTTTTTGCCTCCATGGCCTGTGACCTTTCCTGGAATCCCAGCAGAGAGGGCAGATGATAAGGAGTCCACCTGCTGGCTTCCACAATGGGACTTTGGGTACTTTGTGGTTCACACGGCCAGCCCCATGTGAGCCTGATGGCCTCAGCTGGAACCACACTCCCAGTCTGAAGATGTCTGCTTGCCTTGCAGAGGCCCGTGTGAACTGTTCCCTTCACCCTCTACTGCTGGAAAGCTCGGCTGCCTGCCCCAATCTCTATGCCAACTGGGTGGTCATTCTCCTGCTGGTCACCTTCCTACTGGTCACTAATGTGCTACTTATGAACCTGCTGATCGCCATGTTCAGGTACCCTCCTCCTCTCCTGGCCACCCGCCCTCACTACATCCACGCTCCCTCCTCTCAGTGGGGCTGGTTTCAGGGTGCCGGCAGAGATAGGACCTGTGTCCCTAGTAGAAAGGACCTAGTCCCTTTCGCTGCTGTGTCCATTGGGCTGGCTCTGCAGTAGGGAGCCAACACCCCAGGACTCAGGCTCATGTTTAGCTAAGGTCTATCCTGCTAGGAAGGAGGGTGAGCCTACAGGGCTGGGGGCTCAGGACTGTGTAAAAACCTGCAGGGAGTATGCCTCCACTGCAGAACCCCTGAGTCTGTGACTGAGGGCTGCTGGGTCCCTGTCTTAGTCTCTCTTCCATTGCTGTGATAAAACTGCCTGAAAGCAACTTAGGGGAAGGCACGGTTTATTTCATCTTACATGCCCAGATCACAGTCCATCCCTGAGGGAAGTTGGGGCAGGAGTTCAAAGCAGGAAGCACAGAGGAATGCTGTTTGCTGGCTCACTCAGGCTCGTGTTTAGCTAGACACAGCCCTAGACCTCTTGCATAAGGGATGGTGCGGCCCACAATGGGTTGGGCCCTCCTCCAACAATTAATAGTCAATATAATCCCCGCCCCAGGCATGCTCACGGGACAATTTGATCTTGGCAGTCCCTCACTTGTGGTTCTCAGGTGACTGTAGACCGTCAAGGTGACAGTTAAGGCTATGTTAGCCTCCATCTCTGAAAGGGCTCCTAGGACAGGCCAGCTGCCCCCTGGATGCAATGGAGGATGGCATATAGGGTGTGGGAGGCGGAGGGGTGAGAGAAGGGAAGTGGGATACAGGATGGGGTGGCATCTGGCATGGGAGGTGGTGCCGGGTTGAGGTAGAATGCTTCTATGAGCAGGGAGAGCAGCTTATGAGGCAAGGGTTTGGCCATGTATCCTGTAGCTACACATTCCAAGTGGTCCAGGGCAATGCCGACATGTTCTGGAAGTTTCAGCGCTACCACCTCATCGTTGAATACCATGGGCGACCAGCTCTGGCCCCGCCCTTCATCCTGCTCAGCCACCTGAGTCTGGTGCTCAAGAGGGTCTTCAGGAAAGAAGTCCAGCACAAGCGTCAGCACCTGGGTGAGGCCGCAGGCTGGATGGATGCCCCTGCTCCCAAGGGTCCTAGCTGCCAGAGAAGACTCACAGAAGGGACTGGGGCTTCTCATCTAGGCTCTGTCCAGGCTAGCCAAAGTCCCAGGCCCGTACTAGACAGCCACAGGGCCCTCCTGTCTCCTTGCAGCCCCAGATCCCTCCGTGGGGCTTATTTCTGCCATTTGCACTATGTCCTGCCTGGCAGCATCTGCCCCAATCCCTTGCCACAGCCTGGGCCTGGGTTCTGCCCTAGGGGCCCACACAAGGCTTGCTGCTGTCTCCCCACTTACCAGAAAGAGACTTGCCTGACCCCTTGGACCAGAAGATCATTACCTGGGAAACAGTTCAGAAGGAGAACTTCATGAGTGCCATGGAGAAACGGAGGAGGGACAGCGAGGGGGAGGTGCTGAGGAAAACAGCACACAGGTGGGGCAACCTGTGGGACCCCAGACGGTGGGCACAGGGGGCTCAGGCTGGCAGGTGCCATCATTCCCGTTCATGGGCTGTCCAGAGATGTAGAAAGTGCCCTGCCTGGAGGCAGGTGGACTCAGATGCAGTGGGGCTGGGTTGTCCTTAGTCAGCTGGGTGTTCTGAGGGGAAATAAGTCTGGGAGGGGCTCCCCAGTGCAAGCATGTGGAGGTGGGGAAATATCTAGCTTTTTCAGTAATGGGTGGGGTTTTCTGAACTGCCTTAAGGCTGGGTGAAACTCCTTAGTGCCAGTAATAGGACCTCTGAGCTGGGGAAACATGGCTGGGTCACAAGACCTAGCACTCTAGCCTCTTGCTCTAGGGAGAGGGTGCACGCACGTGCGCGCGTGTGTATAAAGCCTATAATTAGGCATTATTAGTCCCATTTCTGCAATGGGACTCTCTCTTCATCCTCTCTCAAGTCTGAGGATCACCCCCAGTCGATGCTGGGTGGTGGAGGGGCTGTTCCTTAACGCTTATGGGGACTACCTACTTTTTCTCCTCTTGCTAGGTGGTCTATCCCAAGCAGGGACAGGACCTCAATCTCTGGGAGGGTAGGTAGAGTAGTGTTCCACATCCATAGACAGGCCCCAGATCAAGACTGGAAGGAGAGTAGAACAAGAAGAGGCCACAGCTGACTGAGGCCCCGAGAAAGCAGTTAGGGCAGGCAGGCAGGCTCCCCCTTGTGGCCTGTCGTGGAGGTGCCACATCTGCGGCCGGCTCTGCTTTCCAGAGTGGACTTGATTGCCAAATACATCACCGGGCTGAGAGAGCAAGAAAAGAGGATCCAGTGTCTGGAATCACAGGCAAGCCAGCAACCCACTGTCCATTCTTCTTCCTGAGATGGGGCCATCCTTCTGGTCCTACGGGAACTACCGCAGCCCTACACTAGCATCCTGATGGGCAGCATTAGGGCCTGGACAGAGCGGAGGGGAGACCTCAGGGCCAAAGCATATGTTGGCCTATGCTTGTCTGTGCCCCAAGTCACTTTAGAGACCCATTGTTCTTCTAGAACTGGTCCAACAAAACCTAGGTTCACCACCACATCCTGTTACCATCCCTTATGTACCATGGGGGAACCTGGTCCAGAGTGAGGAGTTCTGGGGCAGCAGTAGCCCTGGCAGGAGGGGAGACATACGGGAGGGACCCTGTGCCCAAAGTCCAGCACCTCCCTTGGCTCCTTCCAGGCCAACTACTGTATGCTCCTCCTGTCCTCCATGGCTGACACAGTGGCTCCAGGTGGCACCCACTCAAGTAAGTGTTGTTCAGGCCATGGGAATGAGGGGGGCAGGGGCTCCTCCTCATTCACTGGATTAGGGCAAGAGCAAGGCTGTAGGCTGTGCATCAGGTCCGGCCTTTCCCATCTGTGCTGGAGGTGCCTGCTGCCCTTGCAGGCCACTGCTCCTGAGGCACACAGGTGCCTAGCAGGTCCTCCTGCACAGAGGCCTTATCACTTCCCATGGCCTGGCCCTTGTCTCTCTGCTGCCTTGTCCTTCCCTGCCCCAGCTGGGCCTCCATAGCTGAGGGTCCTTTCTCCATTCCTTGCCCCCAGGCTCCCAGAACTGTGGTCGCAGGAGTCAGCCAGCCTCTACTAGGGACAGGGAGTACCCAGAGGCTGGCTTGCCACCCTCAGACACCTGACATGGAGGGACCACCTGTCCTAGAGCCCCAGACCTTGCCATCCCGGGCTTCTGCGACACATCAACCTTCCCCTACTCCCAGCAACCCCCAGGAATGGTCTTCTAGGCCTTGCCACAGACCACTTCTTGGACATCCCTCCCAGTGAAAATGAAACTCATGTCTCCTGGCACCTATCTGGGAGCCCCAGCGGCATCCTCTCCAGTAGGGAAGTTCTTTCAGTCCTACCTAGAGCTCTCACTGGCTTGGACTGGACAGCAGGAACTAGCCAAGTCCTACACAGGACACCATCTGCCCAGGCTGAACTACTTGGGTCTAGGCCTCCATCCTACCCTGAGTTCCTAAGAAACACTAGTTCTTCTTAAACACTAGTGGTTTCTTTCTGCCCTCAAAGATCCACTCTTTATCAGCTGACCAGCTTCTAGAGGGCTGGTAACCATCAGTTCCCCGCCCCCACTTCTGCCCCCATAGCATTATCTGTGTAACCACTGACAGTAACCCCAAGAGACCATTCAAAGGTACCCTACGCTACTATAAACCCTGCAGGCCATTTCGACTCCGCTGCACCGGCCCACAGGGATGGCTGAACATGCATGGCAAACACCTGGGGAGCATGGAGTTACCTGACCTATCAAATGACATCTCGGTTGCTTCCATTGCTCCTCAAATTATGACCATCCAGGCTGATCCCTCCATTTTAGGGGACACTCAAGCCCTGGAATAGGGACTACAGAGGCTAGGACAGACCTGGTACTTAGCAGGCCAGGCTAGCTAGCTTGGTCCAAGACCTTGGCTTCCACATGAAGTACTCACTCATGTGTCTTCCCCGCATCCTTTTCTCCCTCCTGGGCTTAGCTTCGGCTAAATGACCTAGCATCAATCTATAGTATCAGTGGGGTCCTACACAGAGGTCACAAGTCCTGAAGATGGACACCCAGGACACCAGTTCTACCTTTAGTTTGGGTGGACACCTGCCCAATCTCCCTTGCTGGGTCAACCTAGTCTCTTCCTAAAACTGTGGTCTGCACAGGCCTAGTGCTGGTTTCTGGGGTGCAGATTATGTTCATCCATTACCACCAGGAACACAAGGCTGGACATGGCTATGAGCCCAGTGCTTCTGGGTAGGCTCACCAGTGGCGAATGTAAATGACCATGGCAAACCTTCACAGCAGTTCCCACTGGAGTGGGGAGGGCAAGGTGAGGCTGGGGTAGATGGAGTCCTACAGTTAGTTGCCAAGGACTGTTTGGATGGACCTTGGGTGGGGCCCAGAAAAATCCACAAAATACAAAAAATACCCCAAACCTTTATTGTTCACCCCAAGACACTGGGGCACAAGGGCCTCCAAGGTCCCACAATTCCCACAGTCCCAGCCAGAGCTGCTGCACACACAAGCCTCCTACAAACAGCCCACAGCTTCCCACCTAGGCAGGTGAGGAGGTGGGGTGGTAAGGAGGTGGGGTGGCGAGGAGGTGGGGTGGTGAGGAGGTGGAGTGATGGCACCAGTCAAACTGAGGGGCCCCTCTCAGACACTGGCCCCTCGGGGTTACTGTCCCTGTTCCGGAAGTGTTCTCGGCTCCGCTTCTTGCTACCATGGAAACCAACAACCTCCACCCCTGCTGGGTCTGATGGGGACCCAGGATGGTCAGCTCCTGAAGGTATCACTACCTCCTGCAGTCCCTGGTGGCCACTCCACTCCTCAGCCTCGGGCCCGGCCAGATGAGCCAGCTCCACAGAGGCCTCACTCCCAGTACTTGACACATTCCCCTTCTTGAGGACCCTCTTCCTCTCAGCCCTGGCCTCACTACCTCGGACTGGCTTGGTAAAGACCACTCTCCCCTTCCCACAGCTAGAGGGGTCCTGGTTGAAGGAGGGTACATAGTCTGTGGGGGATGCCTGGCTTCGAGAGCCCAGGAAGGCCAGAGCAGCGGCACGGTTGCTCTGCTCGCTGCCTTCGGCCACATCTTCCAGGCTGTACTTGGTCCAACGCTCAGGATGGGACACATAATCGGGCACAGGAGGTACCCTGCTTGGGCCGGTGCTCTCATGCACTCTGCTCAGGTTCCTCGCTGGAGTCTGACTTGGGGGAGCCACGGGCCTTTTGAAGCTGCCATTGTCAGTCACACTGGTTTGGGGCGCAGAGGGCGGTACCTGCCGGGCTGCACTCTCCAGACAGTCAAAGATGCTGTGGCTGCGCTGAGAGAAGGTGGAGCTCATGCCGCGGAGGAGGAACGGCTGGGCTGCGGGGGTGGAGATGCCAGTGGGGGGCGAAGGTGGGTCATCAGGGCCGGAGTCCTCCTGAGCTTCCCCTGAAAGCCTCTCCGGGGACAACACTGGCACCTCCGCACCACTAGGTAAGCTGAGGTCCGAGTCCGAACCGCTGAGGGAGACGGTGTCAGAAGGCAGGGTGTCATCCTCGGTGGGTACCTCAGCCTCCAAGCCAGCCTCCGCCTCCGCCATGCCGACCTGGAACCCTTCTCCACCTGTAACGAAGCAGCCCAGGGTCCGCCATGAGGGGTGTACTTAGGACGCGCCCCTCCCTGTCCTCCCAGGGTCCCTTTTCACCTCCACTATGTGCCGGGCGCCTCTGCTCACAGCCCGGCGCTGGCTGGTCACGCAGGCGGGCGGAGGACTCGCGAAGCTGGGTGGCTAAAGTGCGTCCTCGCGCGCACAGATGTGGAGCTTCAGGCTAGATAGAGTTAAGGAGAGAGTCAAACCATGAGATCGGAATAGTGTCGGCATATAAAGGATGCGCGCTAGGAGACGCTGGAGACAGAGGCTCTCGACCAGCCCCTCGTCCCATCACCGGCTCTCAGCAGAACGCAGCCTCTCCGGGTACACACCGCTACCGCAGGCGCCACTCGGGTCCGGAGGGAGGGCTGTCAGGGAACTCGTAGTTGAGAGGGCCTAAGAATGCGGGCGCTCACTGTTCCAGTTTCCGTGCATGCCGCAAAACCCAGCGGCTTTTCCCGCACAGTACCGCCGGTTCCGCGGGGTTCAGGCCGTGGTTCCCTTCCACTCTTGCTGGGCTTTCTGGGAAACCGAGTCTCCGGCGGGCTGAATGTCGCGACTTTAACGCCCAAAGAACTACAACTCCCAGAAGGCAATGGGCCAATGCCTAATGCCTGCCGGGAGGTGTAACTTTACGTATGCTCTATCACGGAAGACCGGAGCGGACACGGAAATCTACCCGGAATTGACGAAAGGGGAAGAGGCGGGGCCAAAGGGCATCGATTCCCATAATACTCCGGGACTAACTACCAATCGCAAAGGGTTGAGGCCTCCAGAGCCACCTGTCGGAAGCCGCCTGAGCCGGGTTCGTCATGGGAAGGATGTGCGTCATCACGCACTGCGGGCGCTAACCAGTTTCCTGGGCGGAAGTGGCGCCGGTATTGTGCTCGGTTGGTTTCCTAGAGCGGGGCGGGACTAAGGTCCTAGTCGACTCTTGGCATCTAGAGACGTGGTCGGCCCCGGGGGTGCTGGATGGGTTGGTGGGGATTACAGAGATTCGAGGCCGCTCCCCCGGGCTCTGCCTGTCCGTGCTTGGACACTGACCCCACTCACTATTCAAGGCCTCACACAACCCCCCTCCAGCCCTGGGGCTGTCCTTTTGGATCCCTGGGGACCAGGGTCTGAGGGTCCACTGGGCTGCTGCATGCTCCCCTCCTTCCCTATGTTCTTGAAGCCGCGCTGCAGGCTTCTCTACAGCCTTGGCCAGGTGCCCACGGGCTTCACACCTTAGAAAGGGTTGCTCAGACCAGCAGCCAACCCAAGCAGGGAACGTGCTGCACGGAGGTAGGGGGCAGTCGAGACTAGAACGCCCTAGTACAAACTTGGGGTTCTCTGACAGTCAGCCTACTGGGAGGCTGCTAGGAGCTGGGACCTGAATCCCAGCCAGGCTTTTTCTCCTCTAGAGGCCAATTAAATATGCCAGCAGCGGGGGGGTGGGGGTGGGGTGGTGGTGTAGACAGGAGTGTCAAAGGGAAAAAGACAGTGGTGGGAGTTGCTGGTGTCCAGGAGGTCGCTTAGCCTGACCCTCAGTTCACAAGGCTGCCATTTGCCCATTACCCCTTGAGACACAGGCTAGAGCCACCCAGCTCCGTAGAACATTTCCAAGCACCTAGATACTTGGGATGGAGCCGTGGTCTAACCTTGACTGTGTTGTCCCTCAAAAGCGGGATGTGTATTTTTGTAGCCTATCCCCAGCATTCTGCCTCATTTTTCTGCTGTGTGGCACCTCCTACCCGGCTCAGCATGACTGGGCATGCCCAACAGATGAGTGGAAATGAGGTCAAGGCTGGTATAAGGTCAGCAGAGAGGTAGAAACGGGGGAGTACTCACATGGAGTGCCCCCAGGGTCCCAAGCTTTCCCACCCACTGTGTTCTACAGCCTCTCTTGGACCTGCTCGCTCTGTGCCTGGCGAAGTTCAGAGCTGAGCCCGGTCTCTGACACCACTGGCACAGGAAGAGGTCTGGCAGTCCCATTAGCATGCCTGATTTTCTCCTCCTTTATTAAATGACTGTTTGAAGATGTAATTACAGTTGAAGGTGACACGTTAGAAAGAACAGGTGCATTGAAGGCATAAGAGTGCTTACAAACCCAGCTCTTGAAGTGGGGGCAGGAAAGGGACAAGGATTAAAAAGATGTGAGTGATGTGACCCACAGTGGGCAGAGTGGGTGGACATGGCCCTCTAGCTCAGCTATATAGCCTCTGGGCAAGTAGCTGTGGAGAAGGCTTGGCTCAGCAGGCAGAGCTCCCCAGGGGTCCCAGAAGTACAGGGCCCTGCAAGCCAGGGCCAGCTCCACCCTTACATCCCCCTCCCCACATACACACACACACACACTCACACCACCTATGTGTGATGTCAGCCCCCAAAAGGTAACAGGAAAAGTTCAGAACAACAAAAAAAAAACCCCTCAAAGTAAAAAGGCTAAGTGTAGCAGAGTAATACAGAAATATATACACAGGCCATGGCCCCCAAGGTGGCCTCTGGTCACTCAGGGACGGGGCACTGCAGAGTCCCTGTGGTACAAAATGCAGGGCCTCAGTACACGGAGCTGTTCCGGATGCCACAGCACAGCACCATGCTCAGAATCATCTCGAAGATCTGCGGGAGGGAGGGACATTGTCAGCACCTAGGGCCTTGGGGGAGGGGCATACCCACCCACCAAACAGGCCGTGGGCTCACCATGATGACAGCTACCACGATGGCTGCAATACCGATGAGGTACAACTTCCCAGAGAAGAGCTCATCGATTTTCTGATGGCAATCCTCCTGCAGGAATGGCCAGAGGGTGGTAACAGTCAGTGGCTAAGTCACAGCCATCACCCTACTCGGTGGGGCTTATGTCCCACAGCTTATCTTCCATCCAAAAATAAACTTAAAACACATGGACCTGCTCGCCTTCTCTATCACTGGGTAGTTTCTGACCTCACAAGTACCCTAGGCTTACCAGTATGTATAAGGGGCCACTCAAGAGGGCAGTTTCCCAGAATATTGTGGGGGATAATCCAGGCTATCAGGATCCAGTGCCCCACTATTTGAGATGTTCTGTGAGCCTTTCTGAGGTTCTGCCTGAAGTGCTGATCTTACTGGTTGGCCACATTCACCCTACCTACTACCCAGGATATGATGCCCACCCCCACTCCATGTCACCTTCAGGAGGGAGTTAAATGGGGTGGTGCCAGTGGGACACAGGCTGTTCTTCAGCACAGAGGTGGTCAGTGCAGTGAGTTGGTTGGAGCCACAGCAGTTGAGCTGCAAAGAGCAAGAGCATCATTGTCAGCTTAGTTTCAGGAGACAAGGGAAAGGTCAGGTACGTGAAACACTGTCACCCCCAAATACTCTTGGGAGCTGGCCTGCCCTGTTTATCACACTGCTCAAGAGCCCTGTTCTTCCAAACCCTTGGGCAAATGAGGCCCATTAGGTTCCTACCTGCGGACCTACAAACCAGAGGAGACACTTAGCCAGGCCCTGTCCAGTTGCTGAGGTCTGGGAACAGACAGGACTCATTCCCACAAATCATACACACCAGGACTCCCACAACCTGCCCTCCCTGCTCCAGCCTAGCTGTACCGTCTCGTGGAAGGTCTTCACCACAGCCTTGGCATTGTTGGCATCATCATCCACCACAGCCTGTTGAAGGGCCTGGTCATAGAACTGCTTCACGTCCTTGGCGATCTGGGGGAGAATCATAGTCACATGCAGCATGGGGACCACCATCAAGAGCACTCAGCTTCCCCTGATGTATGTGCTCAACCTGATGCCACCTCTTTTGTTGAGTTCCCAAGGCCCTCCTACCAGCAGGCACCAGAAATTCAAAAAGCACCCTATAACCCATGGGCTCAGAGAAGTCCACACCTGTTGCCTGGGCAAAGGGCATATTTCCCTCCTCAGTGAACCCAGGCTCACCTGGTCTTTGTTTACGAAACCCCAGATGCCAGCAGCCACCTCACAGGCAAACAGGATCACAAGGCAGGTGAAGAACTAGGGGAAAGAAGAGGTCAGAGCCTTGACCAGCAAGACCAAGGCTGGCCATCTACAGGTGCCCACATGACCAACAACAATGTGCCAAGGGGGTTGAACATATCCACCAACCATGTCCTGATTAAGAATGAGCCACACAGAACCATAAAAGACAGAGCCTGATGCAGCTTAGCACTGAGATGTCCAAGTTCTCACGGCCTCACCCTGGTCCCTGCTTTGTAGGAAGTGGCTGGTACAGGAGATGCAGTTAACAAATCCAAGTGTCCACAGCCTTCAGGGAGGCACATGCAGCAATATGCCCCACAATCTTGACCTCCATTTCCTTACCCCCTTTATCCTACGTTCATGGGCAGGTTAAAATATGAAGCATGGCTTCAGGGTCCCCAGCTTTTGATACTGGCTGGCCAGGCTCTAGAAGACATATCTGGGACTCAGCTCCACCAGTAGCTACTGTGGCCAGGAGCACTAAGGCTAGCTTTAGGGATGAGGCACCCCTCTGGAGTTTATGCTTTTCTAAAGAGAAACTCCCTCTGTCAATAGGAGTCTTCAGAGTCAGACTCAATGGAAATGAAGCAAACAGAAAGACCAAAACCTTGGGGAAGACAGAGGTTGCCAGAAACCCTACTCCCAGCTCCGCAGCTCTTCCTACTTACCGTCCCCAGCAGGCACTGGGACTCCTGGATGGCCCCATAGCACCCCAGGAAGCCCACAAACATCATCACGGCTCCCACAGCAATGAGAATGTAGATGCCTGGGGAGGGGAAGAACTGAATGAGCAGGCTGCATGCATCACTACCTGAGACAGGAGCGTCTCACCCACAATAGGCAGAGTTTGGCAATGGGAGCTTTTTGGGCCTCAGTGTCCGCCTCCTGGAGGAGCTGCCACCAGAGGACAAAACAGAAGTTCAGTGCCCAGAGAACACAGGTGATCTGCACTTCACACTATGCTCTGCCCTGTAGCTGGCTCCCCCCCCCCCCCCAATGCATCTCAGAAAAGGAACCCTCGGCACTCACTGTAGAGGGCTGAGATAGACTACCCATCTCAGTGCATGAAATGGGGAAGCAGCTTGGATATCAGCTATTGGCCTGAGGGTGGATGTCCAGGACTCCCAGTGCTGGGTGAGTGTGAAGGCAAAGACAGGCTATGCCAGCAACCAACTCCAGACACCTCATCTCAGGCACACTGGTGTATAACTGTTCTGCTCACCTAACTCTAAGGATGGGAACCTATGGTTGGGGTGGCTGGATGGCAGACAGAAGATAGGGGCAGCTTGAACAGAACACGCAACACTTGTCACATATACAGGCTGGGCTGTGAATTTACAGGGGAGCATTGTGACCCATGCATGAGGCACCAGCTGAGTCATGTCCCTGTTTCAGTGCCCTCAGTACCACTCAGCCTCTGGGAAAGACCACTGTGTCTCTGCACAGCCGTCCATCTCTTGGTCCCTCAGCAAATGCAGCCCATCCCCCAGTCTCCACAGCAACACTACCAAGCAGTTCAAGCTTCCTTGTACAAAGCCAGGCCCATTGTCCGCTGGCTGGCCAGTCTAGGGGCAAAGGCGCCATGGCCAGGACCTACTGCCAGGCTTAGAAACAGGCCAGATTGTGGGCCTGGCTTCCCTTGACCTCACTAAACACATCTGGTCCAGGGAAAGCCTCCTACCAGGGCTGCCTAGCAACTGGCTCCCCCTCTGCCTCCAGACAGGCAGAGCAATTTCAACCAGACCCCTGGAACTCAGGCCCTGAAACCTCAACCTCAAGATGAAGTAGGCTCTGTCACTACATCAGGCTCATCAGGGGGATGCACACAGGGCACCTAACACACAGGAACTTTCGCTGGACTGCCTACAGACCCTCCTAGACCTAGCATATGACCTATCTGAAGGCTCTGGGGTGTTGTCTGAAGTGCTCCCCTGTAAATTCACAGCCCAGCCCGTATATGTGACAAGTGTTGGGTGCTCTGCTCAAGCTGCCCCTATCTTCTGTCAGCCATCCAGTCACCCCACCCACAGGTTCCCATCCTTAGAGTTAGGTGAGCAGAACGGTTATACACCAGTGTGCCTGAGATGAGGTGTCTGGAGCTGGGTATTGGCATAGCCTGTCTTTGCCTTCACACTCACCCAGCACTGGGAGCCCTGGGCATCCACCCCCATTCCAATAGCTAAGCAAGCCCCTGAACCAACTCTCCTAAGCACTAGACAAAGTGCCTTTGTCAGGGCCACATCTGCTCCTAGCAGGGCTCAGTTCAGGGGCAGTAGGGGCATCCAGAAAAGCCAACTCAGAACGGGCAGGGAGATGGTAGTCAGAGTAGCTCCCACCCATAGGTCATGGGCCTTGCTGTCCAGGGCTGAACCTGCCACACAGACCAGTGCCCAAGGCTATTTCCTCAGTGCCCAGGAGGTCATGACCACAGAAAGGCAGGTGGCGGAGCATCTCTGGAGCTGGGCCAGATGTAGACTATGGTGACAACATGAGGGCAGAGACCTATCTGCTTCCTAGGCCACCCTATCTGGGCTCTGCAGGGTACCCAGCCTCTCCTGCCGCATCAGTGCAAAGCAGGAGCTTTGGCATAGCCTCACAGCATTCACCTTGCGGAAGGCCCAGAGCCAGGAAAGAGTCCTTCACAGGCCAGGACTCGTGTCTCTGATGCCCAGATTACCCTTGTGAAGATGCTCATACTGGTTGCTACACAACAGGCTGCGGTCTCTGTATGAACTGGTGAGCAGCCTCCTCCTCTTCTGAAGGCACCAGATCCAAGGAGGGATAGCTAGTGTGGGACATTGCCCACTAACACCCAGACCTAAAAACTGCTATTCCTAATGGCTTTCCTCAAAGGAGACCAGGTTCTGCCCCTGCCCACACCGCCTGGACCCCAAGCCTGCCCACTTTACCTATGGGGAGGCTGCAGGGAGGGTACAAGGAGGAAGGAAAAACAGTCAACCATGGGGTGACGACAGCCTTTGGCTGTCCTGGAACACTTGGGTAGAAAGGAAGAATACTGGCTGTTTCTGACCTCCCAACACCCACCCCCTCAGCCTTCAAGCATGTCTACCAAGCCTCTTCTAGGCTCCACACAAGAGGGAGAATCCACCTCAGATCCTTGACAAGAGCTAGGAGCTTTGAAAGGGCAGAGGCATCTCCAAACACTTCTTGAGTTCCAAGGGTGCCAAGTCCCCCTTTTCAGGGAGAAAGCAGGAGAGTTGCCTCCCTGAGTACAGCACAGCATAGCATAACATAGCGTAGTATAACACAGCATAGCACAACAGCCCTCTTCCTGCTTTCCCTGCTTGGGAGGGAGGGAGGGAGGGCGTTCAATCCCCCACAGGCGGCCTAATAAGGCAGGTGTAGCAGTCTGGCCTGTGTGCTGGGGGGTGGAGGCGGGCATCTGAGTCATCTACTGACCGCCCAGTCTCCAGCCCTCCCCAACTCAGGACCTAGGGCCTCAGCTGTTGCTAGCCCAGGCATCCAGCCCCACCCTGCCCAGGGAGGTTCACCAGAAATGTCCATGTTAAAATAAGCAAGGTCTCACAAGGCTCCTGCCCCACCCAGCTGCTTTCCTTCTGCCTAGCCTAGTCTCAGATCTGTCAAGTCCCCAGCAGCACTATACTCAATTTAACTCTCTCGTCTCAAGAGCCCCTCTTGTGGGCAGCCTCCCTGCCCAGCACATACTAGACCTAGGCCACTGCCAGTTCTAATGCCCCACCCACCAGCCTCATCCTGGAAGCCCTCCCTGACTGTTCTCGGCTTGTGACTAGCCCCTGTCTCCTTGTTACTCACCCACATAGAAGGTGCTGGGTGCTGGTCTGTCTCCTAGTTCCAGGTAGAGCAGGCTGGTGGTCTGCGGGTCATGACGCAACCACAGAGCCACACCTAGGATCACGCCTCCAGCCAGCTAGGAAAAAAAAAAATCAAGAACAATGTCACACAGAGGCCAGAGCACTGTGGGGCGATAGAATCCTACTAAAATTATCATGCAGAGCCATCATTTCTAGTTGTGGGGACAGACCCCCAACCAGGACCAAGGTTCTGTCCATTCATTGTCTGAGCTACTGTCCACTGGGGGCCCTGGACCCCACCAGCTCCTCTGAACTGTGACTACAGAGCAGAGTTCAGTTGTAACCCCCAACACTGCATGACACACATGAAAATGTGGCTCCATTGATAATTATCGAGTACTTTACCACATAGGGAACCCTGGGTTCCATCCCAGTACCACATATACCAGGTTTGGTGGCACATGCCTGTCATCCCAGACCTTGAGAGATAGAGGCAGGAGGATCAGGACTTGAAGATCAAGTTGAGTTTGAGATCAGCTTGGGCTATATGAGACCTTGTCTAAAAAATAAAATAAAATAAAAATCTTTTTCTACTGATCTCAAGTTCTAGATTGACCAACTATGCACTATTTTTATCTGAGAAGTGTGGCTAGAGGCCACAGTGAGGCCTAGCCATTCCGGATGCTGGTGGGCTCTCCTCTGGTGCCCTGTCCCAACAGTCCTGAGATTGTTTAGGGACTACCATGGGCAGGGTACTGGGAAGAACCCTGTGTCAGGAACACCAAGTTCTCCTTGCCAGGAGGAGAGGGGTGACAATGTGATGTCACCGGGCCCCACAGGGGGAAGCAGCAGGGCACCACCTACCATGGCTTCGTGTGAAGCGCTATAATAGAAGCATCTGGAAGCAGGAGGTAGCTCTCAGGACAGACCAGGGGAGAGGCAGTCTCTTCCCCATTACTAAGCATCCTCTTCTTGTAGAGTCAATGACTCTGCCCAGCACACACAGGAAACAGAAACCAAAACCTGGGCCTGATCAAAAGCACCAGGTGGCCCACTTCCTGCTTTGGGGATCCAGGCCAGAACACAAGTTCAAGAAAGCTCCCTGGAATCCCCAAGCAGGCTGGTTCTGGAAAGAGCACCTATGGGACCCACCTACTTCCTTCTACCCTAGGATCCTGTCCTCTGCCTAACTCTCAGAGAGGAAGCTGGGGGCACTTTCTGCAGAGCACCATCACTTTGGACTCATACCCCACGAGCCCTGTGGTTTCTCAGCTTCCTCTATAAGTTTTAATTAGTTTTCACACTCTGGTCAAGGGGGGATGAGCCCTCAACCTCTACCAGAGCCTGAGAGAACAGGGCCTCTGGAACAGCAATCAAGGCCACACTGTGCACCTGTTGCCCAACTCACACATGGCATGGAGGCTGGGACCCTTAGAGTACCCTCATGTGCTAAGGTCCTAGTGATGCTGGGGACCCCCAGAACTTCCAGAACCTTACAGGGACAGCTCTGTGCTTATACACCCTTCAGAGTCTAGCCTTCAGCCTGGGCAGCAGAGGCAGGAGGGTAGGGCCTGCCTCCAACAGAGAGCACTCCTCCTGAGCTGGCTTGAGAGGAGGAGGTCACCGGCCTGAGTTGCCCTGGTAACCTGGCTTCCTTTGCAGCTTTGAAACGTCATGTATTTTGTTTGGGAACTGGACCAGAGGTCGCTCTGAGATGTTCCAGGGCAGAAGGACTAGGTGGCATGCCTTCTCCCCATGCTTCCCTCTGTGGTAAAAAGACCCCATGGTGACAAACCCTGACAGTTACGGAAGCTGAGGGGTAGCTGGTGGGTCACCTTGCCTTCCTCGGTCTGTGTACTTACCTATAAAACAGGTGAGCATGCAACCATGCCCAACTCAGACTTCTCTACTGTGAGCTGGGGGGCAGAAGTGAGTGGGTGAGGGATGATATTCAGCCCAGCCCCAAAGCCTACTAATGTGGGTGTCTGGCCAGGCCACCACTTACAGGCATGTTTTATGGAAGAGGTGGGGTCAGGAAGCTAACTCCAGAAAAGTCAACCTTCAACCAGAAAAGAGGCCAAACTGGGGTAGGAGGGGTAGGGGTAGTCGAGACAGAGGGGAATGGGGGACTTGACCACTCAGCCTACTGTCTCAGAGGTAATCAGAGTTGAGTGGGAGAGGGAAGAAGGAAGAGGAAGAAATGCTAGTCATTGGGCTGGCTGCCTCCAGCAATGTGACCCTCCACCCCCTGCTCTAGGGAGAGGGAGAGGAAGTGCTGGGAAAATTAAGGGGCCTAGGAAGGTGGGACAGGGGTCTTCAAATAGTAAGAGGCTGGAAAGGACCCCCAGCTTCAAAATGTTATCTAACACGACCAAAACAGACAAGGAACTTCCAAGACGCTATGGTAAGAAAGCTAACCACCCATGTTTCACGAGATATACGTACACAGAGATAGGGCACCCAAGGACGGAGTGGGGCTACCATTCTTACATCATGAAGCACCAAAGAGCCACAGGAGATTACCAATCTACCCACTAATCCCAAATTGCTACCGGTGTGGCAGGGCTGGGTGGGGTGGTGCTGCCGCACTGGCGAGCAGCTTGTCGTTTCTGAGAAAGTTAGCTGGCGCCTCCTACTCACCACAGCCAGCCTAGCACCTCAAGCTTTACACTCATGTCTCCCCAAACTTCCCCTGTTACAGCCCAACCCAGAGCAGTCCATATGTCTCCTGACCGATGAATGGCCATCACATGCCAGAGCCTCCGGGGAAAGGACAGACCCACAAGATAGCAGGGAGGGCAGTTCAATTATGCTGAGAGAAGGGGGCACAGAGAGGAGGAAGCAGCTCGTGCCTTCCGACTCTGTTCATATGAAAGTAGAACTCAAAGTCCGTTCAAGATAGTGCAGTGATAACCCAGCAGAAGATCTGGGGTGAGAAGGAAGAGAAGGGACCACAAAGGACCCGAGGATGCTCTGGGGCACATCCACTCTCCTGATGGTGCTAACAGTTCCATGGGGTATACATGTTGACTCTGTTATATGTCAGTCACAGCTCCAGAAAGCTATTATTTAACCCCAGCTTCAGTCCAGTCCCTGGATCAGAGGCTATGCTAAAGTACATTCCCCAGGCCTGTGGGGTGTCCCAGTGATTAGCAGCAATCAGATTAGCACACATCTTGTCTATAGAACCATAAGTTTAGAATGATCTGCAAAAACTTGGGCACCCATAAAAAAAAAAAAAAAAAAAAACCAAAAAACAAAAACAGTTCAGTGTCAATGGAACTTTGGAGCGGTGCCATTGGGCCGAGCACAGGTAAGGCTAAGGGTGGCCGGAGCCTCTAGCTGTGTCATATCTGAGCTGGGGACCTCAGGCCCATCTCAGCCTCCTCCATTCTTATCTTCATTTGTAAACAGGGGGAGGAATACACACAGGTTGCAACATATCTCACTGTGTTTAGCTCTTGACAGAGCTGAGGAGGTGATCCACAAGGAATCTACCAACATTAGGATCTAGGATTTCTTCATGCATCTACTCAGGGGCCTAAGCCACCTCTGCCCTAAGCTTCTCTTCTCCAGGTGGGTCCACCTGCTTCTGTGGCCTAAGAGACCTTCTGCTTAGAGGTGGGGGTGGGAAGCGCCAGGTGGCATGTCCAGGTTCCTGGAGCTCCTTCCACAGCACAGAAGGTTGCATTCATGACTCTATACAGGATTATGTTGTTTCCTCCTTCTTGAGGGCTAACACATAACAGACTCAAACTTTAACAAGACGAGGAGCTGCCAAGCACGCTGGGTCCCTGCCCGGCTGGTTTTGCGGTTTCCCAGAAGTGACTGAAAGAGAACAGGCCTGGGACAGCATTCTACTCTGTGCTAACTGCCCACGGCCGGCCCTAGGCCAGACCTCAGATGGGGGCTTCTCTGGAGCTTTCCTATTACTACACATATGCACCCCTCCAGGAAGGGACAAAGCTCCCATCACCAGTCTGGTAGGTCTGAATGGTTACCCCAGATACCGGACATGCTCCAGAAGGCTGACTGTATCATCAGCTTGTTCCTTTAAGCGACCCTTTGTGCCTCAGGAGAAGAATCAAAGGCAGAGGCAGACAGGGGTGAGGCTTGCTCAACGCCTCCTAGGTACATGGTGCACAGCGGAAGGTGAACCAGAAAGTGCCCACCCGCCTAAGCAACTGGAAGTTTCTGAGGGTCTAAGAACCTCCCAGGCGAAGGCAGAGGTTGTGAAGATCAAAGGCAGTGGGGGGAAGAAGGCTTCCCTGGGCAGCTGGGATAAGCCAGAGTAAAGATACTCAGACTGGTTATTTTTAGGAGCTGGGGCACAGGTGAGGTGGAGAGGCTGATGGAGGGAGGCGACTTAGGTGCTGCTCTTCCGACCTGGGCCCCTGCGAGTTGACGTCATGCGCTCAGGCACCACAGGGGGACAGGGCCTCGTCAGGGCATGGAAGAAGAGGAGAAGGCCAGATTCCTCTTTGAGAGATACAGGATCCTGCTCAGGCCTTCCTAGGAGGTAAAGACTTGCAGTTCACCAAAGGAAGCTCAGGAAGGAAGCTGGAGAGAGGGGCAGGAATCCTTGCCTTGGCCAGGAAGTACGGTTCCTTTCACAAGGCCCCTCACTTCAGGAAGCCACTGTCCTGACATCTAAAAATAGGTGGCAAAGCAAAAGCCTAGCTCTGGGGCCCAACTGACAGGCTGGGGAGGGGGCGGGGTATAAAGGGCCAAGGCATGGCCACGGGAGGATACACTGCTGTCGTGAGGTACAGGAGATTAGGCTGGGCTATCTCAGCTCTGCCGGTTCAGGTCCAGGCTATAAGGCTCCTCAGACAGAGAAGCTGGCAGGAGCCTTCCCCACCCACCCCAAGCTCTCCTCTAGGAAGGCCAGGTTTTTTTGTTTGTTTGTTTGTTTGTTTGTTTGAGACAGGGTTTCTCTATGTAGCTTTGGAGCCTTCCCTGGAACTCACTCTGTAGCCTAGACTGGCCTCGAACTCACAAGAGATCCGCCTGCCTCTGCCTCCCGAGTGCTGGGATTAAAGGCGTGCGCCACCGCCGCCCAGCTTTGAAGGCCAGGGTCTTGTGAGACCCTGAAGGGAGAGTGTGTGGACCCAGA